AAACTTTCAAACAATTTACCTGCCATTAGTAGACAATAGCAATGCTAAGTAAATATCTAAAACAAGACAAATCTTTGCACACGGCATGCTGTTGTAATAATAAATTATCTGAGAAAGAAATAGATGCAAAAATCTACAATATATAACTATACTGTAATACTCAGTCGTTACCGAGTAGTACTTACGTACCTTGGCTTGAAGTTGAAGGCTTGAGTCCTTGATGAGTGAAGTTGAAGAAAGAGGGGTGCTTATAGGGCGAAGTCTGACAGTAATAACTTATTTTCGATTTTTATGGTGGTGCAGCCTAACCTGTCGAGTTTGAACATATAGTCCTATTCTATGCACAAGCAATTGGATACAGGCATATATGTTGGCATAATCACCCGTTTAATTGAGTCAGTCTCTAGTTTTCATTTGTAGGAACAGTACGTCAGTTTTTCAGCCGTTTTTTCGTTTTTATTTTCCTTCCGAGTCCGTTTTTATGCTTTGTTTTGTTTTTCTTTTCCGTCCGAGTTCTTTGGTTTCGTCCGTTTGTCAGCCTTTTCTTTTTTTTTTTCGTTTGTTTTCCCGTGCGCTTCTTGGTTTCTTCCGTTTTCTTTCCTGTTTTTCTTGTTTCCCATTTTTCTTCCGTGTCTCTATTTTTCTCTTCTATTTTTTCCAAATTAGAGAATGAAGAATAATACAAAGATAAAAATATAATATTCTTATAATAGAGAATGGGATCTACTCAATTCCAAGAAGAGTGTTGTTATGTGGTTCGTGCTGATTTTATTAAAGTTGACTAGATTTGTAGAAAATATTGATAATATTTGTATTTCTAAATAAGTCTATTATAAAAAATATATTTAGCGATTCGAATGATACTAATTATACACTATAAATATTAATACTTTCTTTTATATATTTGGTTAAAGTTAAAAATTTGACTTCAAAAATAAAAATGACACTCTTTATAAGATGGTGGTTTTTTTTAGAACAATATTAGTTGGTGGTTCAACCCATCTACCTAAGAATTAAACAAATTAAACCGTTGTGCAATCGGTCTTTTTGCCTATATGTGTGTCTTGCTATCTCCACCAAAGATTTGCAACATGGAGTCACCTCGTATATCATGAGTGGAAAGAGACAAAATTAGGAGGAGAAAAGGGCCCAGACTCACATGACACAGTTCAAGTTCTGTTTGTCTAGTTTCCTTTTACGATTACACAAGGAAAGTGATTCAGATAATATGGATATATAGAGGAGAAAAGATAGGAGGAAAGGGTCCAGGCGCCTATATCTCGGCTACAATGCACGACCTTTAGGGCATGTTTGGTTCTATCGCTAGCGTTGGCTCCACCTTGCCCAGCAAGGACTAGGACGAGACGAAGAGTTTGGTTGTTGGGCCAGCTGTTTTTGAATTCCGTGCAAGCAAGCTATTTCATTGCTTTTGCTAGAGAGGAGTTTTTAGCTCACCTCGGTTGCCAAGTCTAGGCTCGCTCGAGCAAGCTAGGGCTAGGCAAATCTAGCCAAGAACCACACGTGCACTTAGTCATGCCAGACTCTATGACGCCGCTTAGTCACTTCAGACTGTATGACGCGACTCAAGCCTGATGCCAGTGCTAGTGCTCCTCTAATCATGTCAATGCATAGAGCCACGTCATGTGCTTTGACGTGATTAAGGTTCCGTTTGGTTACCAGGGTTTTTCAGAATCCAGATTAAAAAAAATCCTAGAAACCTAGAATCCTATCCAAACGAGCTAGATTTTGTTGGATTTTAGCCCCTGTTTGGCTACCATGGCTCACGAGATTCTAAGAATCCGGATAAAAAAAATCTCAGAATCCTAGAATCATATCCAAACAACATTTGATTCTACAGGATTATAAAACACATGCACAAAATTCAAGAAATATCAGAGATTATTTTTATGTAGAATCCGAATTTTTAGAGTTCCATTCAAACCATAGTTATTTGAACCGGATCAGACTGGCGGTTCAACCGGTAAAATACCGAACCAGAGCCTCGGCCGGTCTAGTCCAGCTTAGAAGACCGGTAAGCAATCTAACCGTATAAAACCGGTGCCAACGGTGTTTCATAGAAACCGGTATAAGATCTCCACTACTGAGCCACAACTTTAGTTGTGTTTGAGTAGCGTTCCTCGTTATATTTCAACCGGATTAAACCGGCGGTTGACAGACATGAAATCCAATAAAAGTTTTTTATTGAGATTATAAAAATCCGCAGGTAACCAACGGGACCTTTGCTACATCTTATATTATATTATTATATAGAATATTAGTTTTCTTCTTTTTTTTTTTCTAAAAAGGTGTTCTTCCCTCCACCGTCACTTCCTTTTCCGTCATCAATCTCTCGCCCGCAACTCGGACCGCTCCCCGCGCCTCCCTCGCCGGAGATCCCGCTCGCGCCGAGGTGGTCGCCTCTCTCGATCCGTCCCGGGCTCCCGGCGTCCCCGTCCCCAGGAGATCGCGAAACCCTAGCCCCCATCTCGCTCTCCACCACCCCCATGCCTCCCCACCGCCGAAGCCGCCGTCTCCGCGGGAGTCTGGTGAAGAATGCTCCCGCTCGTCGTATGTCCGTTTCCCCTCATCACGCGTCTTCTATTTTGGCAAGATAGATGTATCGAAATTGAATAGTTCCTCTTATTTATCGGTTGCCTGGATCGAAATCAAATAGTTCCTCTTGTTTATTGTTTATATTAGACAGATTTGTTTATCCGTTGCCTGGATCGAAATCGAATAGTTCCTCTTATTTATCGTTTTGATTAGATAGATTCCTATGTTTCAGTGGGATTTCTGGCCTCTGTCAGCCTCTCTCTTTGTTCTATCAACTTTCGATAAACACGATGATAATATGTTAGGTGCCGAGAGGACAAGGAGCGTGAGGCTGCACAGACGCAGTCTGAGGCATTAGTTCAGGTGTCGGAACTATCCTCGCCTCCTGTGTCATGCATACGGGAGCGCCTGTGGCGTAAGTGGGGACGGCTATTTTATACCAGGCTCGATCGTCAGGGATGTTTCCATACATATCCTGATGTGGGTGGGCCATTTCAGAGCTTGCCGGAAACCTACGGGGCTATTGATCGCTATCTCGAGGACCTCCGGGATCCGAAGATGTAAGTTGTCTCACCTGCGTTACAGATTTGGATTTTCCCCTATTATGCATGCATGCTTGCAGCTGATTATATTTAAAAAAAAGCTATGTAACCACATTCTTCAATGGCGTAGGTCACAGTAGATAATCACAGTTTTTTAAAATAAAATAAAAAGAACTATGGCCAAAGTAAGTTAATCTAAGATTGAAAAGTATCAGCATATATTTCTTTGTCTTAGAATTCCTCTTTTGGGACCACCTAAAGTTAACGTGAGCATTTTGTAACTTTATTTGACAGTTGTTGAAATAGTGCAAAAGATCATACTACAGCTTTGCTTTGACAAAGCAAACATAGATGCTATAGTACCAGTGTACCACATACCACTTTGTTCAAATGTTGATTTGTATTATCGGAATTGTAACCCGTACAATTAGTTAACCTTCAGCCAGCTAAAGAACGGTGGTACCATACAACAATGTTTCCTCATGTACTAAACAAAGTGGTTATAGGCAAACAATATGTTCTGTTAACTGATCAAAATAGTGTGAATAGTGTGATGGGAGCACAATTAGTTGGGCCATCTGAAAATTGCAGTGGGATACATTTTTCCCTTAAAAGAAGGTATATTGCACTTGAGAATTTGTAGGCATGTCTGCATATGAACAATCTTGTATCATTTTGCTGTTGCTGTTGTTATTTACTACCATGAGCTATGTGAGGTTGGTCCTAGTCAACAACCTTCTTTGCAAACTAGTGAACCTAGTACTCCCTTTGTCCCCAAAAGAATGCAATTTAGCTTTGTCCTAAGTCGAACCATTTTAAGTCGGACCATTTCATATAGAAAAGTAGTGATATTTGTCACACCAAGTAAGTACTATTGGATTAATCATGAAACATATTTTCATGGTATACCTATTTGGTTTCATAATTATTGATACTCTTCTCTATAAAGTTGGTCAAACTTAAGAGTTTGACTTAGGACAAAGCTAAAAGCCTAGAATAGCTTATTTTTTGGATGGGGAGGGAGTACATGGTATTGCTTTGTGTTCTCCACTTTTGGGAAAGTGCAATCTACTGATGAGATAGAATGTTCTCATCTAAATTAGGTGTCTTGGAGGAAGATAAGGCTATAATCGACGTCTTTACTGGCCTGATGGCACAATCAAGAGGCGTACAAGAGGACCTGTAACTGAGAAATCCGAAATGTGTCAAATGGTTCAAGCTTTAGTGGACAAGTATAATGAGGATCATAATCTTTTGGAGGTTTGCTCTCCCTTCTGCCCTCATTGTGTGTCTTGTTACCATTGTTGCGCTGTGTCTTATTGCCTTGTTAATGTAACAATTGCTGATCTGACCCATGCTTCTTATTTCAGGGTCTTGCACACGAACTCAAAGACGTTTTACACTACAACTCAATTTGTGAGAAGCAGAAATGGTACTATCATCTCAATTTCACTACAAAGATTAAAGGGGCTGGTCCAAATGAATGTAACCTGGACAATCTTTTCTTTGTGGAAGTGAAATGTATGCCACAAGCAAAGTTTACAGAACTGCTGCCTAACTGTTTCTGCAGAGTTAATCTGAATGACAATGGTATTATATACTCTTTATCGTAAATTAAGTACTGTTCAAATTCAGTTATTTGGTCGCACTAACTTCAATTTATCTGCCTGTAATTGTAATGTATCTCTGGCTGTTAGCATATGATCTTTAATGTGTTGAACTGTTTGTTTGCCCCTGTTCCATGTGCCACCTTCGTTGTCCTGGAGCTTTTTATTATTTATAATGTCAAACTGGTTAATGCAGAACAATGGTTGTGTAATGACTTTTTATTACCTTTAACATTATTGTGTGTTTGTGCTAGGTTGGTTCCTTTGCAGTTAACTTCTCTTTTTTTTGTTAATAAAGGTCAATGCTATGGTTGCACCAGAGATGGAGATGTTGGTATGAAGCACCCTAGCAGTTCTGTTGGATACACTGCTGGTCACTTGAATGTGGGTTTGCCATCTGGATACTTTGGAAAGTGGAAGAGGGACTATGAGGATGAGGAGGATGATGATAAATATGTATGATGACTTATTTCCTGGGAAGCCTTTCAGACTTTCAACATTTTTGTTGCTTCAGTTTCAATTACACGTGTTCTCCCCCACTTTTACAGGTGAAAGCTAGGGAAGCTGAGCTAAGGCAGATGTTCAAGGTAATGTCATATCTTGTGCCGTATGGTACCATTTGTACTAAAATGTTTTTATTTCTGGATTGATTCTAGTTCCTGCTTGTGTATTTGTTGTCCTTAGGGCCTTGATAAGCCAGGTGTTTTGAAGAAACTTATCACGCCCCCTCCGTGGGCAACTAAACGAAAAGTGCCGGGGTGAAACATCAAAGTCCATCACACTTCCTTGTGTCTGAATGTATATTTCGCAAGCAATAGCCCTTTTAATAATTATGTTATCTACCCAGGAACTCAGCTTGTTAGTTCATGTTGTTAAGACACTGAAGAAGAAAACATATTTGAGTGGCACTGAGAAACCATTTGAGTCGAGGTTGAGCTATTTGTAGCATGCTACTCTTGATAAATAAGTATCTTCGCAATGCCCTCAGGAGACCTTTTAATATTATATGTTATCTTCCGTTGCATTGACCAACTGTTTTAGGATTAGGAGATGAAATAGCCTATTGTTTGGAATACATTCAAGGTCAAGCGGATCGAACTGCCTTGAGCGGCTTGTTCTGCGGAGCTGTTGTTGCATCCAAAGTTTCACGCAAGTGGGATCATGCACCAATTAGCAACTGTCGACCAAACCAGGCCAGACCAGCACATTGGTGCACCATTGTGACTCTGTAGTGGTCTAGTGGTGCACCTCGGTGGCTCTGTAGCTGTTTGGTTGGCTGGGCCATGGTGTCCTGTCAGGGTGGCCAGAGCCAGGTTTTTATTTGTGCAGAGAGGCATGCTTGTTTCATAGCCAGTTGGCCCTAGTTGTGCAGAGTTCATGTTTGTTTGGCTGCAGCACACGTGTCCCAACCATCAACTGCCATAACTAGGAGATCATGTTTGTTTCTCTGGATGGGTCTGGTGGCTCATGCATTGATTGTGCATGCAAATACAGAAGAACAAAGGATGTTTATAACACCTAATAGAGTTTACAAATTTTACCAAAACATGTCTACACATTAGAGGCCAAACACAGCTACTGGAGGGATGCAGGTTTGTTTCACCTTGCTTTAGCTGAAGGGGGTACAGGGAGGCAGTGAAGAGGCGAAAGCTGGTGACGGCCTGAGGGGGAAGTAGATCTAGCGTCGAAGAGCACCAAGTGCTCCAGCCACCAGCAGCTCGGAGAAGGGGAAGAAGCTGCCCCCTCGAAGAAGGCCTTACACACCGGCAAGGCGGAGCAGCAGAGAGGCCCCAACCACGGAGACGGAGGCGACGACCTGCGATGGCGGCAGCCGAGCTCAGGAGAAACGAAAATGGATTTCATAAGACTAGAGACGGTTCTTCGCGCCGTCTATAGCTCAGGCTAGTCCTAACAGATGATATCGTACTCCAAAATCCAAGACTGTCACGTAGGATACATGGTATGATACAGCTACAGTTGGGATCAAATAAACTTCAGTGCTTGTATGACACTGTTATAACTTCTCTAGTGTATAGTATCACACACCATTACGGTGTCCAACGAAAAGTGTAAAACCAATACATATATAGCACATTGTTTTTTTCTCTCTTTTATTCCTATGCCACATCAACAATTTGTTCTACGTGGCAAAACATTAAACGAGTATAACGCCGTGTACTAATTCACTGCAGTTGCTGCATGGAAAAGACCTGCACTGCACTTGCTAGATGTAAAAGAATAATAGAAACCTCACAAAAACAATATATTTTCTTACATAAATTTACTATTTTGTTATCGAGTCAACGCGATAAAATTTATGCAGCAACACGTGGTGTATCATCTAGTTCAATGAAAGCCAGACTGAATTTTGTCCATATAACTAGATGCCCACGCGGCACGAGTAGAGATGAGACTAGCGAGCACAACACGGCCCTCTCGTGCTTCATGCCACTTTGGATGTGGCCTTAGGCATGTGAGGTACTTTGGGTCGTGCCGTATGACAAGATAAGTCTCTGCTTCGGTCCAAGCACGTGGTGTACCTACATGTTGCGTATGTTTTACAATGGTTTTTATGGGTTTTCAGGTGTTTTTGCATGTGTTTGAGACGCATGTTTCAAATATTTCATCTTCTTCAGATGTATGTTGCAAATATTTCATGGGGATGTTTCAAAAATAGATCGGGTGATGCACATGTTTCACTGACGCCGGTAGCTGGCGGACAGCGGCCTGCCATAGGGCCTCGCCTTCTCCTCTCCTTCCCCTCCCATTCCCCTCTTCCCTCCATCTCGCCTCGGCATTGGTGTTGGAGTGCGAGTCGTCGAGTTTGCTGCGTTCGGAAGCAGGTGATGGCGTGGGATGGGATGCAGGGGGCGTGGGTGTCGATGTTTTACCACCGATAGCCTGCCACGGGGGTACCCGGGACAGTTGTTCGGGCTTTGGCGAATAGCGGAATTCGGCGGTTACGCAAAGAGACTCACGATTTATACTGGTTCAGGCCCTCGACTTGGTCGAGTAATAACCTTACGTCTAGTTTTGGCGTTAGCCTGTTTGCGGTGTATTGCTCTGAGTATCGGGTATCCGTTCTCCTCTTTCAATGGGTACCCTCACCAGCCCTTTATAGTCCAGGCGCTGAGAGGCGTTGTTTGTGTCTTATTCGGATACAAGGTCAGAGTCCTAAGCTACGCTTCGGGCGCCTTTCCTTGTATAGTTTGAGTTGGAGTTTTGGTTTTGCACGTTGCTTTGCTCTGCGTTCTTCTTGGCGATTAATGTAGGCCTTGTTACCAAGGCCTACCTCTCCTCTGAGATGGTCTATGGGGACCCGTAGGGTTCCCCATCGACAAGCCCCCAAGCATTTCATGATTGAGCTTCAAGGGCCGAGTTGTTGTAGTCTTGATCCGTGTCCTTCTTGAAGTGAAATCTTGAGATGGTCTTCTTTGATTCTTCTTTTTGGTGATGTGCACTTTTGCTTGATGTCCTCCGGTTTTTTTTCTTTGAGTGCAATGAGTGCAATTTTGCAAAATTGCACTCATTGAGTGTAGCCTTGAGCCTCTTGTTTTTTGGTACAAAAAAGTTGGAGGGTCAAAAATTTGAAAATATGTTTTTCTGTGGTAGGTACTTACACAGCCCCGAGCCTTCTCCGGGTTCTTTTCTCATTGAAAAGAAGCCAAAGAAGGGTCTTGATTTGTACTCCTTTGATCTTTGTCTTTTCTTTGGTCACGGATGGGTCTTGTATAGCCATGAGTGAGCGTCTTCTTTTACTTTTTGTCAGAAATCTTGCTTTTGGGTACTATTTGCCTTTGTTGCTTTGTTCTTTTGTTCTTTTCCTCTTTCTTTCTTATGATCTTTAGCCTTGTTTACCTCTGGTTTGCTATAAATACCTTCTTTGTTGGTTGTGGTTCTTCCTTGAGTAGGAAATTTCTTCTTCAATTCTTTCTTCATTCGTAGATATGCTGGTGTGTGAGGTTGAGCAGCCCTCGGGCTTATGCTTGCTTGGTAATGAACATGTTGCTCTATCTGTTCTTCTCAAGTCCCATTTGCCATTGCCGCCGCCGCCATACTTGGGTTCTGTTGCAATATTTAAGAATCTTGTCTCTATCTTTATGTCCGAGTTTATCCGGTCCTGTTTGGCCGTCAGTAACCTTTGTATTTGTCTTGATCAATGAGATGTATAATTTTTCTCTGTCCGAGTTCTTTTTCGACTGTAATCCTTTGACATTGTAATTTTGTATGTGATCCTTCATACGTCTCCAAGTTGTTTGTTCGGTTACTTATTGCTGTTGTCATTCTAGTTGTTGGAGAATTCAATGCATGTCTTCACAGGTTGTATTGTTGCTTGTGGAATATTCTCTTGGATATGCTTGTCCTTGAGTGCCGTTCTTTCACGCCTGAGTCCTCTTTCATTGAATTCTGTCTTTTCATTGTGTCCTTTGTTAGATTTCTTCTGTTGGTGCTCCTAGTCCATGTGCACCGCTTCTTTTTTGCCTATAAATGCCCTTCCGGAGTGCTGTTTTGATTCATCGAGCCTTTTGTTGCCTGTTCTGAAGTCTCTCAGTAGTTATGAATATGATAGTGTGTGAAGTAGAGCAGCCCCCGGGCGTATTTTGTAGTTCTTGTACATTTTGTTGTAGCTGGAGGAAGTCTTGTGATAGGGATTAGAGGTAGACTAATCCTCATGATGGCATTGTACTTGGAAGTACATGGTGGTAGTTGGAGGAAGTCTTGTGATGTGGGCTTCGTTCCTTCATCCGGTAGTTCTGGGTTGATCCTCGCCATCTGTCTTGAGATCTGTTTCGGTGCGAGATCAACACGATCTACATCACGTCGGGCTTGGGTAGACAGATGCCTGCCGACTTCCCTGGTCTATGTTGTCCCGCCCAGCTCGCTGATTTCCGCCTTGGATGCACTACGTCCGTCCTTTGAAAAAAAGCAGTGTAGGAAGCCTTGGTTTGTTTCTACCGAGTAGCAAATTGAGTACGAGTCGTTCTAGAGCCTAGTTGTGTCCGGGCTCCTTTTTGCTACCTTGCTTGTCGAGTGCCGAGTTCATTGGGTCTTGTAAGATGTGTAATCTTCTATTTTGAAGCCATTTGTAATGGAAAGAATCTTGTCTTGAGTTGTCATTCATTTTTCTCTTTGTAATCCTAGTTATTCATGAGGCTCCTGAGTTCTTTCTTTAATAACCGGGTTCTTTTGTTCCTTCTTGAGGTGGCCCTTCGTTTCTTCATGGTTGATGGGTTGTTCTTGTAGTAATCTGAAAAACTCTGCTGTGGTCTTTGGATGGATAAGTCGAAAATCGCCCGTTGGATCGTACCATTGTGTAGATTTGTGCCTTCCGTCATTTTAGTCGTGTGTCGATAAATGGATCATCGCGTGGTTGTTGTGAGAAGCCGAATCGCCATATTGGTTTTGATGAAGGAATTAACTCCGCCCTTAACCTTGTATGAAGAAAGTTTTAACTC